CAACCCTCCACTCCCACCCACCCACGCGCCAACAACCCTTCCCCCATTGACCTTTGACCCCTCGCTGACCTTGACGGCGTCGGTCTCGGGGTCGTTGCTCGGCGGGATGTGGAACCGCAGCTCGGTGAGGGCGACGAGGTCGTCGTCGTTCTGGTGGAACTCGATCGTCACCTCGTTCTTCCCCGTCATGCTGCGCGACACGTTGTTCAGCGGGAGCTCGAACGCCGTCTTGTTGTGCACGTCGAACGACAGCACCGAGCCTGGGGGGCAGGACACACGGCGCGAGGGTGAGCGCGAGTGAGTACGCAGGGGAGTCGGACGCGGTGTACGCGCGCCAGGCAGCAGACGAAAACGAGCGAGCGGTGTCGCACAGGAGAGAGAGCAAAACGCACGTATCGTTACCCGCGTATTATTATTGTTACTGTTATCATCTTTAGTACACAATTATTGTTAGCGCCGTTGCTATTTCTATTGTTGTTGTTGTGTTTGCCAACATCATGTATTACGTGTGAATGTGTGTATTTGTATATATATATAATTTTAACCACCATAGCATGATGGACTTGAGGTTTCTCTCTAGCATCTTCATCGAGGACCAGAGTGACTGACGAACACTGCCAGCTGCGCAGCTAGCTTACCGTTGAATTCCGCTGATCCCCAATTCCATCCTCTGATCGAAACTTCGCTTTCTTCTACTTCAATGTCAAAGTTCTCCTTTATACACTTCACCAGCTTTTCTTGGTCCTGTAAGTAAACAAACGCTTGCATTAATAGTTGTTGTTAGCAAAACTGTATCGCGAATCCGCCAAACAAAAAATTCCGCGATCCCCATCGATCAAGACCGATGTATATACAACTATCACTAAATGACATTTGAGAAATCCAGCAGAGGTCTGCTGGTAAAAAATGCCCGAGATCTGTACTGATCAGAATCTCAATTTAACCGGATCCGGACAGCAGAAATGAAGCCAGAATTATAAGGCCCTTCTGGAACGATGCCTAAGTGTGATCGCTGCAACTCACTCCATCTCTGAAGCCTCGGAATCTGTGAAGTGTGCCGCTCTTCAACATGATCCTTAGCAGGTATCCGGAGGACAGCCGCTGCCACCTGGCGTCCTCTATCTCTTCACCTTCGAAATGTTCGACTTTGCCGGTCTTGATCGTCTTGAACACAACTTGCCCCTTCAGCATGCGCAACTTTCCCTGGTGCTGCAATTGAAATGAGACATTTAACTGCTATTCAATCGCTAGTAGAGTTGACCGCCAACTTGACCTGAACTTAGAGATTGGAAAATTCATTATTCAATAAGCCGGCATGGAAATATTCATAAGTATTACTTACCCAGAGCCCTGCTGACTCGTGTGACACATCACCAAACTCTATCGCACCGTCAATCATTTTTTAAATCGCAGTAAATCACAGATGTATGATATTTGAGGGATTTTGTCTCTCTTTTTTCTGCTGTTTTACAAAACGTGCGCCGTACACAACAGAGACGAACCCATGACTGTTGTGTGGGCACTGATGGGGATATTGGGAGTTTTTATATTTTACAATTTTATTTTAGTCACGACAGCGTCTTAAATAATACGATAAATATTATTCATAAATTAGAGTTTGAAAGTGTATTGTTGAAACCGCACATATATTTATGTACACCGAAATTCTTTTATAGAAACATGATTTATTTAATATACGAATATCCCTTTATGGTTTCTTTATATTCCATGTGGCGCGAAATCGCACGCGAGTGAATACATACTGGCATACATCGATCACTACCATTGGGGAATAAACATTAGTACATGAAATAAATAAAAATTAATCTTAACTCAAATATAGAGAGTTAATGTGCTAAAGATCTGTGATTGCTTAAACAAATATCGTTGGCCATTACGGTTTTGTTAGCCGCAACAACGAAATTTTTGTCTAGTTAAATTAATCACAGATGGCGACACCAAATTCCGTCCTGAGTTTCCTGTCGGCAAAACAACGTGCATGTATTCCCGTCTGAAGCGATTCTCGCTTGACGTGTAACCATAAAAAACTGTCCCCCTTTCGATGCTTGTTCGACCGTCGGGCATGGTACCTAGCTACAGCCAGTACAGGTGGCTAGTGAGCACGTCGCTGGTGACCGAGATCGTGCTGCTGCTATCCATCCTGCAGCGTGCCTGCGGCGGGGGTGAAGTGATATATGCCATTAATTGCGGTGGAGACGCCCACGTTGACATCCACGGTGTTCGATACGAGAGAGATCCGCTGCCGGATGACTCAGTCGGTAAAAAACACCCGTCGCTAACAACAGCGCCTGATTAATTGCGTATAGGGTGTCGCTGACGTCGCAGTGACGTCAGATTTTGACAATGAGTTGCAGCAAGTGCAAACTACACACACTGACGCTGAGAGGGTCAATTAATGCCCCCCAGGTTACTGCCGGAACGTATCTTGGGTACGGTCCGGTATACTATACCGGAACGTACCCTGGCACTATCTAATATG